CATACTCCCCAAAGCAATCTTCAGATTTAATGCAATCCCTATCAAAGCCCCAATGTTGTACTTTAAAGAACTTGAAAAAATCATGCTTCATTTTATATGGAATCGAGAAAAACCTTGAATAGCCAATACATTACTTAGAAATAAAAACAAATCTGGAGACATGACGTTACCAGACTTCAGGTTATACTACAAATCTATAGTGATCAAAATAGCATGGTACTGGCACAAAAACAGAGAGGTAAATATATGGAATAGAATAGAGAATCTAGAGATGAACCCAGCCACATACTGTCATTTGATCTTTGATAAGCCTAACAAAAACAGGCAGTGGGGAAAAGATTCCCTATTTAACAAATGGTGCTGGGAGAACTGGATAGCAACCTGCAGAAGGCGAAAACTGGACCCTCACCTTTCACCAATAACAAAAATTGATTCTCACTGGATAAAAAATTTAAATTTGAGACTTAAATTTAAGGCATCAAACAATAAAAATACTAGAAGAGAGTGCGGGGAAAACGCTTGAAGATATTGGCATGGGAAAATATTTTATGAGGCGGACCCCCCTGGCAATTGAAGCAACACCAAAAATGTATGACTGGGATTTGATCAAGCTAAAAGGCTTCTGCACAGCTAAGGGCACTGCAAGTAAAGCGAACAGACAGCCTTCACAATGGGAGGAGACCTTTGCAGGTTCTGATTCTGACAAGTTCTGACAACTAGAGAACTCAAATTAATCAATAAGAAAAGAACAAACAACCCAATTTCTTTCTTTCTTTCTTTCTTTTTCTTTTTCTTTTTTTGTTGAGACAGACTCTCACTCAGTCACCTGCATCCTGGGGTTGACTGTGAGGGCCCTGGCATGATAGCTCACAGCAACCTCAAACTTGTGAGCTCAAGTGATTCCCTTGCCTCAGTCTCCCAAGTAGCTCAGAATATAGGTGTCTGCTAAAATGTCCAGCTAGTATTTAGAGGTGGGGTCTTGTTCTTGCTCAGGTTGGTCTCAAACTCCTGAACTCAAGCAATCTACCCACCTCGGCCTCCCAGAGTGTTAGGATTACAGGCGTGAA